CTGCCACTTACGAACGACGAGGCCGACCAACTCTATACACTGACGAGGATCGAGACTTTATGGCCGAACTCATTGACGCCGATCCTACACTGTTTCTCGACGAGGTTCAAGCTGCCATGTACAATCACACGGATCTCGTGGCTTCTCGACAAACAATCTCCAACGATCTCAAGGACCGTCTTGCTCTTACCGTCCATAAAGTCTCTGCCGTCGATCCGATGCAATCACCAGCCCTTCGATCAGCCTATTCTGCTCGAATCTGTCGAATTCCACATGACTTTCTTGTTTTCCTTGGTAAGTTTTCCATTCTTCTTTCTTTCTCTTTGATTAAAGAAGCATGAGACTGATTTAAACTTGAATTTACTTCAACTTAACCTAGATGAATGTGGTTTACGAGCACAAGATGTGCAACGGAAGCACGTTCGGTCCAAGCGAGGCGAGCGACCGAGAGCGTTGAAGCGCAAACGCAACGGTCGTCACTACAGCATGCTGGCTGCAATATGCGAATTGGGTTTGCTAGCAGTCAACAGCAAGATCAATGCTTATACTCGAAATGAATTCGAAGCATTTCTTAAACACGTTCTTGTAAGTTTTTTCTCTTGCTTCAAAATCTGATCCACTTCAAGAAGCTGACTATACATCTATTGACTGTAGCTTCCTGTAATGCAACCTTACCCGAATCGGAATTCTGTCCTTGTAATGGACAATGCACCGATTCATCGCCGTGGCATCATTCAAGAGTTGTGTGACAGGGTGGGAGTTCTCTTGGTGTATCTACCACCGTACTCGCCGGATTTCAATCCAATCGAGCGGGTCTTCAAGGTGTTCAAGGACAAGCTTCGTCGGGAGGGGAAATTTGCAAATGCCATTAACAGGTTTCGATGTCTTCATAAGGCAATGAGTGATGTCTCAAGGGAGACTTTTATTACAAAACTGTATCAATTTTGTGGGTACAGAAGATGGAGCAATCGACTTCCATAACATCCTTTGTACATTATCAGATCCTCAAATATTTTTTAATTTTAAAAAAAATGTTCTACAGAAATCAAAAGGTCATTGAACCAATCTTTAACATTATCATGTGAGAAAAATACCTGCGAGATAAAAAAGTTCTCTTTGAGAAATGAGAAGGTCTTCAGAGGAAGTGCCAATTTATTGATTGTAATGTCACACTGATAAATGAAGCAACTTATTGATTGTACGCCTTTCATTGATAAATGAAGCAATTTTTCTTGTAAGAAATAACTCAGTTATCAACGCAAGTTCTCATAGACTTGATCAAGTCAAACTGGGGCTCATAGTGTTTATTCAAGCACTTTTTTATTCATTGACACAGACTTTTTTATTGCAGAGCTATCAAACAAAACACAAAAGGGATAATAATATTTTAATGTACAGTACTGTAGCTACAACACTTTCCAAACACACTCTTTGAGAGATCAGTCAGTACATTTTTTTTGTTGAGGAAGAAAACTTTAGACTGGGCAATGGTTTCTTCTTTTGAGATCAAGTCGATAGGAAGCCAATTTCGCATGGAGACGAAGGCGAGCTCCGAAGGGAAAACCAAGCTTTTTCATTTCGTCCACACTGAGTTCTTCAGACTCGAACATCTCAAAGTCGACAATGTCCAAATCTTTGACTATACCTCGAGTCGTGGAGTCGTCCTTGCTGATCGTACAGAAGTCGAGATAGTCTTCGATTTCCGGAAGTGGTCTTGGGAGTGTCATGTCAGTTTGAGCTTCAGGCGGTTGGTGGTTGGTGGTGTTGTTCAAGGCGAACAAACCATTGCCGACTGGAACCATCGTCGCAGAGCTCGTGGATTGAGAATTTGGTGCGGAGTATGCATGAGGGTTGATTGGTTGTTCAAGATCTTCCCAGACAAATTCAGGTCCGGTAGGTGGCTTGTGGACCGAGACTCCTGGAGTCTTATTCGCCTATTCCAAAGATATCGGTCAGTTTTGATTGATTGTGAATATTAACAAAAGAGAAACTTACCACAGCTTCGGCCCATAAGTCGAATGCGATAAAGGAGAGATGCATTCCTTGGCAAGGGTTCAATGGGTTGATCATTCCCATGCACTCCCTCCCATTGATCGAGCACTTTCCATACATGGTCATGAGCTTGGTATGTATAGACTGAACAGTCGGTTCGACACCAATTGACTGTTTGAGCAAAGTCGTTCATTAGTTTGAGTTCTTCAAGATCAAAGGAAAAAGATGAGACGTGGTACTTACTGCCATCTCTAACTGATCGTGTCGAGCGCGATCAATTGTGTCCGGATCAGCATGGGCCAATGCTTGATCGACTTGGAGTTGCTGCTCAGAGTTCAAAGTCAGTTGATCAAAAACGAGAAAATGGAAGCATGAAGAAGACAAGTCACTTACTTTCGAGTTGTTACGAGCCATTTTCTTTGGGTTTTCCATCATTATGCGGAAACCCATTTCTTTACCTTTACATTTCTTGCTGATCGCCATATTCTTGAATGCAGTAAAGATCAAATCGTTTTTGATCACCGGAGGCAAAGTTTTACCAAAGACGCCACCTTGAGTTACGTAAGCTTTGAAAGTGACCTGACGATCATTGTCAGCTTGCTTGAGTATTCGTCCGGTACCGTTTTTGTTGGTGTTGCACAGATCGAAAAGGGAATTCTTGATTTCAGTCAATGACACGCCATTGACTTGAACCATCACATCGATGGAGTCTTCAGTCTCGTAGTCGATGTAGTTTTGAGCCAAACCGTTTCGTCGCTCAGTATCAGTAAGTGGAATGGGTATATAAGCCCTAAAGAATAACTTGGCTTTTGATGGTTTTGATTCGTCGCTGGCAGCAAGGATTGACCCAGATTGGGGGAGCGGAGCGGCGATGAGACAGGGCGAATGAGTGAGATCCAGCTCAATGCGTGGAGCTAACTCAAGGACACGTCAGTTTGAATTTTTCGAACAGGCTCTATGAAAAGAAGAAAAACTTACTACGCTCTTCACCTCGAGCTTGGATATTGTATCCTCCATCGCCAAACCTTGGATCCAACTCGCTGGCATTCCAAAAATGAAGTTCCTCGGCGGCTTCAGATCCAGAATGTTGAGGAGTATTCAATACTGATGAGACACCGTTGATAGGTGGAAAGAAGTGAAAGTATTGGTTAGTTTCATTTAATCCAGAGAAATTCTAAAGAATAGAGAAAGAAAACTGACAATCATTGATATTGGCTTCCGCTTGAAGTCGGCAACGGAACTCACGAGGACCACCTTCTCCATAGGGATTGACATGGATCGACTCTGAATCGAGATATTGGCGTTGACCATTAACTCGAACAAGTTCCCAGTGGTGACCGTCCCTACAAACGAATAAACAGTAGTCAGAAAGAATGCAACAATGATGAGAGTCGAAATAATGAGAACAAAACTTACTTGTTCATGTAATAAGGACTGCCACCGCGGCCACGAGGAGGACTAAGACCTTCCTGTGGAGCCCTTCTTGCTCTTTTTTCAGCGCTAAGAAGAAAGAAGACAATCATTGGAAGTCAAGAAAGTCGGTTGATTGAGTGGTTGGAAGTTGAGAAGATGGATAGATTGATCGGGTTTAAATAAGAAACTCAGGTGAATCCGATGTGATTGAGGTTTGAATGAAAAAGGAAGTGATGTTGAAAGGGAAGGGGATTGGATATCGATTGAAATCAAAAAGGAAACGATATCAAAAAAGGAAATGAGATCGAATGTCAGTTGAAATCAAAAAGGAAACGATATCGAAAAGGAAAAGATATCAAACTTACGCTTCCTCGAGTGCCCTCGCGTCCTCGGCAAGTTGGAGTTGTCGCTTGCTTGGTCCTCTCGGCATGGTTGTGAAGGTTTGGACAGGGTATCGGGGTTTGACGGTGGTATTGAGGTTATTGTTGTTGGTGTGGTGGTGATGTGGTGTGGTATGTAGACCAGCTCTTGACCGGTTTCGACGGTCAAGAGATATTCCAAATCCCATGCTTCGATGGTAGCATATGCTTAGAATCAAGCCTGTATTTGGCCTGTATCACTCTCCAAAAAACTTTCGATTTTTTCGATTGGTCAAGCCAATCTGGATCAACTGTACCTATCAAGTCACTCTAGAAAGGGATAGAAAAGATAAAAAATTTGGAAAATCAAGTATAATATATACAAGTTTTTTTTCCTTTTTTGTTTTTTTGAGCATATCTCATCGGTATAGCTGGCAGACCCGGCTGGCCCGGTCTGTAGGGGAGGGGTTGGCCCCGGTCCGCCCAGATTTACTGGGCCGGGGCCGGGTCGGTGCATTACCCTTCAGGGACATTTGGTCCTTGATTGATAAACACAAGTTCCGGTTCCCCTCATCTGGTTTCCTGTCTTTGAGAAGGCTCATAGTGTGTTACATGTACATGATGTCAAGACTTGATCAAGGTCAGGGAAATGATATCACTGGTTTCTTTCTTTCTTCTGATATTCTCTCCCTTAAAAGTATGTGATTCATGACTCATACATACCTGATCAGTTTGCCACATTCTTGTGATCTCTTGCAGCTCCTATTTGTCTATCTGACTGACCAATGACCCTTTGAGCAAGGCTACAGAATGTAACAGACATCTCTCTTTAACTGATTTCTTTTCCATATTCACTTGGACTCAATGCCAATTTAAGAGATCCCAGGCTTCTCGCACTTTTCAAGCAACCCTTTGTGGTAAGCGAAAGGTAAGGTGGCTTGCAAATCTACATTCAAGGATAAACTGAAGTAGAAAAACTTGACCACAGAATGGCCTGTGAAGGATCAATCAGGCACTAAAAATATATACTATACAAATGTATGACCCTGAGGGACATAGTTTTCTGATTTGTTCTCTGGTTTTGAAACTTGGAAATTTCAACTTTGTCAAAGTGTGTTTTGCACACATTCAGTTTTCCTCAATTCCAAGTGGATAATTGGGAAGAAGTAGACCTAATGCTCCTCGAGACAAAATTGGTTCTAACCTTTGAAAAACATCTGTGGGAGGAGTGTTCTTGCATCTAAAGATGTTATATTGATCAACTTGAAGGAAAGGGGATATTGATACAAAGGAGACTTTGAAATAAGTTTTGACTTTCTGGAAGTAAAGTGATGTACATACTACTATACAGCTGTTTAATGAGGATAAGGATAGTTTTCTAATTGATCATCAATGGAAGAACGTGTTGTTACATGCCATGTGTCGTCCTTTTCCTCTTCATGAAAAACCCTGAATTCAATTCCTCGAGATTCACAGAAAATATTTAACGAAGACAGAATAGGCTCTAAAGATATATTTATAAGATTACACTGAAAGTTTATACGTAAATTCAATACCTTAAGTTTGGGAAATAATTTCGCGTTTGGATCGAACAGAAAACTATCTTCTCTGAGATGGAGGAGAGTAAGATCGGGGTGGTCTTTACACCCATTCCAGCATTGTATAGAATGAAAATCAAAGCAGAATCGTATCGTTAGGTGTGTTAAAGCCGGTAGAGAAAATTGATCGAATTCAATAGAGCTATAGACATCAGCAAATTCGACTTCCAGATGAGTCAAGTTACTTTGAATCTTGAGCTGGAGTAGTCGAGGAGGGACTGGTTGATATCCAGTGCAGCTACGGCAGATATACACACGCCTTAGGACAAGATGTTCAAGATGTTCGAGATTATATAGACAGCCAAGAAGACGGCCAAGATCCTTCATGTTGTCCACTATGATATTCTTAAGCTCGAGTGATTCAAGAAGTTGAAGATGTTTGAGAGGCTCTTGAAAGCACCTTGCGTAGATACGTGAAAATAAAGGGCCTCGAATTTGGAGATGTTGAAGATGTCCGAGTTCAGAGAACAGTGAATCAAGATTGCAACATAAGTTATCCAGTCGTTCTTTTGTGTGACGGCCCCACTCTGGAACTCCAAGATAGAGTGTGGTAAGGTTTTCACAATGAGACAGCACTTTGATTAAATTCTCTTGACACAGACCAAAAGCTGTGCGTATCGAATGGTGCGGTCTGTATGCACGGTTTCCTCCGTCATTGAAAACAGCTAGATTGTCAGAATGAATCTGATCGACTTGCCAATACTCTTTATCTTCTTTTATAAACTTGATTTGCTTTATATCAAAAGATCGAAGTGAATAGCGATGTGATTTTTTGTTTCTGATGGCTTCATTGATTGAAATTGATTCCCGAGGTGTCTGGAGCCATTCCGAGCGCAATAACACATCTAGTACCTGTACGTGAGATCCGTGTTTTGGTAAGATGTCGCTGATCCAAAAGGACATTGGTGCAGATAATACCGAAGGAAAGCTGAGAGACTAGGTAGAAACAGACAAGTTCGGTATCATATCCTGATCAATACTCATCCAGCATGTCCTATCTTGGTAGCTATACTGAGTCAAAGTTTGCTCACATTCCATATCATAGGTTGACTGAGATGATAAATTTTTCGATTCACAACTGAAAACGCTTGAAAATCGGTCAAGAGGGGTGATTCCGGCTTATGCTGATAGATCCATAATCTCGACTGCTTTCCGAATAAGAGAGGATGTCCTTGCCGAACCTTCGTGCATAGATGTTCTTTAAGATCACTAGGGTCATCGATAAGATGTTTCATGATCTGAAGAAGCAGTTCGTTCGGTAGTCGACATAACATATCTGGATGAGTCTGTGGCGATTTTTTGGTCCGAGGAAGTCGAGCTTTTGCTTTTCTTGGGTTTTTCATTTTGATCGATGGTGCTGATCGACGGGTTGTCGATTGGTCACAGTTGATAATAAGAGTTTGATTCAGTCAAATGTGGGGAAGGAATCGTAATTCGTCAAATTTGACAAATTTGACCTTCCAGACCCCCAAAAAGGTCCGCTGACCAAGTGCCGACCCTGGCCGACCCTCTCGGCCAAATCATCAGATTCTCCTTTGCCTTCTCAGAGCATCCACAGTGGTGGGCTCCAAATCGGGGCTATCGCCAAATTTGGTGACTGAGCCCCGATTTTTTGGTGCAATGGCAGTCCCCATCGCCAAATTTTTTTGTAGCCGGCTTCAAATTTCGAGCTTTGGGCTATTACTTTTTCTAAAATGAATGGCACCCCTGGCCCGAGAAAAAAAAAGTTTCCAGTTGCCGCAGTTGCCGCAGTCACCGCAGCTGCTGTGATGAATTTTTTTTTGCTTGAGAATGATCCATCACTCCTGATTTGAATTTCCTTCTCTAGCTCTTGTTCTTTGTACAATCAAAATCAACCATGAGCGAAAACCAACATCTGGATCCAATCTTTCTCGGTATCAGCCAAACCAACAAGAACAAAAGATTGTCTTCTAGATCTGAATCATCTGGACCAGAAGTCTTAGCAGATTTGACTAATGGGGTATGTCTCACTTTCTGTATCTATTCTTTTTTCTTATATCTAGACTGACTCGCCTCAAAATTTCAAAGGTCAATTGTGCTTCAAAGACCAAGGGCAACTCTGAAAATCGTGCAGCAGAAGATGAAGATGGCCCCTTCAAGTTCAACTTTAACTGTGATTTCTACGTGCCCAACAAGCAAAACAAGTCTGGGTTTCACCAAATCACCTGCTCCAACTGTACGATTGAATGGGATTCGAACAATTTCAATTTAGATGAACTCAGGTTAAAATGCGCTGAACTTGCCAAAAGTGACAACACAGGGGCGCACATCAAGTCTGTACTCAACAAGGTAATTTTCGATGAGGAGAGTGGGGGGGTTTGGACTCTATACATTGCTTCAAACCACAGCTTTCCAAAGACAAACAGGAACCGCAAAGTGTTAGATCACAGCAATTTTCAATCGTGGGTTGAAGAGGCACATGCAAGTTATCCTAAAAATAAGGCTGGGATTTCATTTGTAGCTCCGCATCCGAGCAAGCTCAAGGCACGAGCCGAGGCGGTGAGTACAGTGTCCAATTTATCCCTGGATTTGATGCAGCTGACATCCTTACCTTGCAGGCTGCCCAAACTGATGCTGTGATAGCGCATGCCGAACAACAGGAAAAGCGTCAGGCATTGAGGCCATCAGATAACTTTGAATCTGATCCTGAGGTGAGTCTGTAACCATCTTCATTCTCCAACTAAGCCCACGCATACCAATCTCAAAGTGTGTGTAAACACATAGAATCTACACTTTTGAAGTCCGAACGACTGCATCCGGATTGATTTGGGGCCCCACCAAATTTGAATTCGTGCGATTTGGAGCCCCGATTTGGAGCCCACCACTGTGGATGCTCTCACCGACTTTTATCATAGACTTCAGCCTTAAAAAGATTTGTACACTTATGGCGTTCAAACATGCGCAAGAAATTTGCAAGTTGCAAGAAAGTTCTGTGCAAGTTCTTTTAAACATCTTGCATAGAACTTCCACAAAACTTGCAGACTTAAGAAAGTTATGTGTGAACCTAGGCTTCCCCGCTTCGAGGACTCAGTTTGCCCTTGATGAGATACATACAGCAGGGGGTTGTGAAAAAATTAATTAAGCAAGATCCGTGCAAGAAATTGGTTTTGCAAATTTCTTGCACATGTTTGAACGCCATAACTTTCATTCTTATCTGCAGGACCAGGACCAAGGAGAACGGCCGCGGAACAAAGAACAAATTGCCACGAGATGGAAAGAACCAAATTGATCAAAAGAAGAAAAATCGCTGATAAGTACTCACATAACTGGGTTCGATTGAAAAATATCAGAAACAGCGTACTGCTTAACCTCGTTACGGAGTTTGTCGGGCAATAACCGGCGAGGCAGTCTTTAACATCCTTTTACATCCTTAAACCGCTGATAAGTACTCACGTAACTGGGTTCGATTGAAAAATATCAGAAACAGCATACTGCTTAATCTCGTTACGGAGTTCGGCGGGTAATAACCGGCGAGGCAGTTCAATAAAAGCTCAACCTTGTTGTCTTTTAAAAAGGAAAAATCCACCAAACTCCCAGATAATTGGGACGTTTAAAAGGAAAAAACCCACCAAGCTCCCAAAAAATTGGGGCGTGCTTGCACACAAGGGAAAAAAGCATTATGGTAAAAAAAAACAGATTAAAGAATCTGATCATCAACTGGCAACGACACTCTTTGTTCCAACGAGATGGCCAAATTCTCCAAGGTGTACTGGTCCTTTTCAATTTAACTTGTTTAGCTAGTGTTTCATGCAATAAAGCCCAATGCACTTAAAAAGAAAAAAAAATAGACTTCAGCGGAGTACTTAAAGAGAACGATAGTTGGACTTGTTCAAGTATGATAAACTCTAAGATCAAGACAATAATGGGATTAATAAAAAGACAAGCAGCATTTATCAGATATGCAGAACCTTTTTAGATTTTTATAAATTTAATTTGTTTGGATTGAACAAAGTCATGATGAGTTTAACAAAGTCAGAGAAGAGAAAGATATCATAGAAGAAACCCAAAGTTAGATGAAAGTGAATCATATCAAATCAATTGTAATGTATCATATTGAACCGGTCAGTGGAGGGTGTATTAGGGTGAGATCCCGCCGTGTTTGTGCCAATTGAAACTGAAGGATCTTGAACCGAGTTTGAAGTCGGAGTTGGTGTGGGTGTGACTGGTTTGTGGAAGGATTCGTGCGTTGAGCTGGCAAGGAAGGGGAAGTGTTAGTTGAGTCCATATTGAACTCAATTTTTTTTAAGAAACAGGTGGTCAGCTCATGCCGATTTCAACCCATGTGAAAATACCCATGAAAAAAACCCATAAAAAAGTTGGGTTGTCATGGGTTTTTTTCATGGGTTTTCATGTTGGGTTGTAGGTTTGTACACCGCTATTGATTTTCTTGGACAGCAAAATCTTCAGAGCAAAGAAATGAACAACTTTTATAGAACAAAATTCACTGATCAAATAAGAGTCCTCTTGCAAGAGAAACACAAATGCAATCATTGGGGTCAGCTGTCAATTTTATTTCAAAACTACAGTTGTTGCTTGTAACCAAATTTCAACTTCAAAAACTTCTTGTCCTTCTTGGGAATTCTCACAGTGATATACAAGAAATATGAACAGGCATATTTGAAGGCAATGACATGGGTGGCCACAGTTAAAATGGGCACACAGGTTGATTGAGAGGATGTGAGAGTTTAGGTTTTGGAAAACCTTCCTACCAAACTGAAATTTGCCACCCCTGCTGGCCCACCAAGACCAGCGGATAAGTCATACGTCACTTCACAGACATCCAAGCTTGCAAGGAAAAATTGTCTGACTAGAGGGACTTGGTTAACTTGGGGCACCTTTCACAAAACAAATGTACCACCTCAAGTATCCTAGATGTCTTTTTTGTTGGTCCAAGAGGAGTCTTGTGAATCAGTGCTATGTAGTTATTGAATAAAGCGCACACATGGACTGAGGCACAAGATTGTGATACACCATATGTCAAAACATAGAAAACAGCGCATCCTACCTGAAAGGGTTATATTATGAGACAAGAAATTTCCAGAAAATAGACGGAGAAGGATGATCTTGAGAATGGTGATCAAGGTGAACAGATTAATGATGAAACCTTGGATCTCAATCCCTCATACTCACAAACTCTTGAAACTTGATGTTACTATTGATACATATCATATTGACACTTCCAAGTCTGGATGTTGAGTAGCAATACTGGACGAACATTTGCAAATTTAGTACATTGTAGATCTTCAAACCCTCAAATCATCATGAGATCGTTGACATCATCCTGAACTTTCCAAAACATCTACGTACAGTCAACGATGTGCCCCTGAGATTTCTAATCCATTCAACCCCTACTCTTTTGTTTTGGCAACTTCACAAGCTTGAATTCTCGAACCAATAGATTGAAGACAGATCCAAAGAATAAAGCCATCACTGTTTTTCAGGTCCCAACATAGATGTCAATATTGAAGTTGAACTTGTCCGTCACTTTTGAATACAGAAAAACGCGCACCAGTGGAAGTAACAATGATCACATTATAAGGCATCGAGAAATCAGGCGTAGCTAGATAAATCAAACCAGCCGTAGTCCAAAATCTTTCACCAGTCTTAGAGATCAGTAAAACTGCCGGAGGCAGGTCAAATCCACGATTGGCATCTGATGCATATTCAGTGTAAAGTAATAAGGACTTGGTGTACTCAAAGTCAATCCTTACACAACTCTTAGGTGGTAATCTCAGGGTCAAGGATAGAGTCAGTGGACGTTGTCGTGCTCGTGATGGTGTGATGTGTTTTTTGATCACGATTTGATCTGTGTAGGTCAGAAAAATATGAGTTGCGAAGGTGCGCTTAGTCAGACATAGATTTAATAATACCAAACCTCACTTCTCCCGCAGATCTGAGAGGTTTATTACTTACCTGCTTTCTTTTCGTCGATTGTGGTAGTGAGTGTATGAATGTAAGCATTGATCCACCAAGGTAATTGCTCAATATAAACAGCCTCGATAGCTTGATTGGCATTATTCCTGATCTCGACTCCTAATCGCCCATCTGCTTGACCTGCACCGGACCAAAATCGCTCAATTGAGACTAATGAAGGAGCATAGCTTGAAGCTGTCAAACGCCGAATCAATTGTTAGATTCCACAGACATGGTGAAAGCGTGGTCGTTCACATACGGTAAACCAAATGAGACTCAGATGGCCAATTCATCCCGATTTCCAGAGGCAAGACCGCTGCCTCAAGGCAAAAGCAAAAGCAAAGACAACACAAGCAGATAAGCAAATGAAAAAAATGTGGTCTGGGATAATTTCAAATCAGATGACCAGATGAGACTAAACCTGTGGTTTACCTTTCATCAAATCGAAGGAATGAAGACCATTGATCGGTAATCCATCAGCTTCAGCTCTCGGTTCAACAACTGCAGCAGGGTCATCAACGACAATGATTTTACTTGAACGAGCGACTGGGCAGACTCTTTCCACCGATCGATCAAAAGTAGACTTAAGGGACCAATCTAATTCAAGACAAATCACAGAAGCACGGAGATGAGGTTCCTAAAATAGAGTTATCTGAAAGTTTGACTGCCTTTTTCAGACGTAGCCCTCACCTCGTTTTCCTTGCCCACCGGCGCTTTTATCACGCCTTACAGGATCTAAAACAGATTCGATGATCAATTCTAATTGCATCCCTGCTTGTCCATCTCCTGTACCCTTTCTAAGCTCTACCGCAATTGATTGCCAATGTGCTTCAAAAAGTCTATGAGGATTTATGAGCATGGATAAACCAGCGTGGCCTTTACAGGGCAATAATCGCAAGACAGGTGACAGGTTTTCAGTACATGGTTGCTCTAGCGGCAGTAATCCATGAAAAAGTTCGGCTTCAATCTCCTCTCCAGTATCAGTCCTAAAACGTTCCTGATTTCGCCTTGGGAATAGTGATGGAGGTGGCCGAGTGATGTGAGCCGGTTGAGAAAGCTGACCAAGAGAGGCGCAGAATAAACCAGCCAATGTATTCGTTAACCCTGCCCAATTATTATCAATACTGCTTGCATGTTGCATGTCATGGTTCAATTCGTTGAAGCTTGATGCTTTGGGTTCTGGTCGATCAAGCCAAGCCCAAACCTGAGCGCCTCGTGGTTTACGATCAATGGGGTGAGCGACAGAGGTCGGTTTCGCCCACCTGGTATCGTCCCACCTGCCTCTACTTAGTGAGAGGCCAAATTCAGCGATTGAAAATTGATGGATAAGCTCTGAGAATGAAGGTGGAATCAGATCCGATTCTCTAAGTCGGATGTTGGATTGGGTGAAGGTATCGTTAATCACCGAAAGCAGGTGGGCAGGTGTAGTTGGAAGTGATGATTGGAGGCTGAAGTTGAAACGGGCGTGTAGTTTGCCATCAGGCAGAGGCCGAAGGAGCAGTGTCTCGTCGTACACGTCAGGGCTTGATGAAATGAGACAGAAGGCTAATCTGGAGAATGCTAATGATCCTAAGAACTTGCTGGTTTGAAGGTTTGAGATGCGCATCGAGGCCTGATAGTTATAAGGTGAAGAAAATGCTGAGCTCGATCAATCCCAAAGGTTTCCAAAACATAAATCCAAACTACAGTTAGGGAAGTAGAAATGCATTTATCAAACTACGTTTACAGTGATCTCGCTTAAAAATGAGTCAGGTTTGCAGACATCAAGACAGCTAGGCTGATAAGCCCCTCTTCCGACGCGGCCACGTCCTCACAATTTTGCTTAAGATTCCTTTTTGAGGGCTATGAACCCACATTGACATGCAGGGAAATAAATGCCACCACAACACTACTTAGAAGCTTATGGTTACTGGTATCAGAGAAACATAGCTTGAGTTCTAAGCTTATCAAAGTCCCTTACTTCTTGTCACAAACTCCAATGCACAGCAAGGGACTTCACCAAAACTTACAGAAACTTATCGCTCAGAGTAGAGGGTTTGGCAGGAAGCTTTCCTGTGACCCATTTAGAGAATTCCATACTGAAGATCTTTACATGAAGCAAAGAGAAAAAGTGTGCACCAATCCCCTGCGCAGGGTTTATGCTCATTCTTTTAAAGGATTCAATCCCCTGTTGTTTAAAATGTGGTTCAAAGATTGATCCTTAAAGGCAGATTTGTGCTCAAGGAGGACATCACATGCGTGATTGACCGTAAACTCTCAATCTTTGAGATTATTTTTAGGCAAGAGGGAGCTAGCTTTCTTGGAAAAGAATGGTGTACATTATGCGCAAGAGCAAAGTGCACATTTTCTCTCAATAGACCATGTAGTAATCTCTGGTAGTGGCATGTGTAGTCTAGATGGACATGAAGGAAGCTCCTGCAAAAGACTTGACTTTGAGCAATGGGTTTATGCAAGTTTATTGCAAGTCCCTTGCTACCCATCAAAGTGTGCAATAAGCAGTAATGGAGTTTGGTAAATTTACTTGAGTTCTGAGGCAGTGGGAAAAATTGAGGATGGATCAGCCTTGATGCACGCGATGAGCTCAATCTGACTGCCATTGACTGACGGAAATCCCAGAGGGGAAAAATGTTAAGCCAAAAAATTAGGCAGCTCAAATTGTAATTCAGTGCAAAAACTCTATTGAGATTCGAGAAGTTTAAAACAAGTATTTTACTGCCAGCTGTAGGTAAAAAATTTTGTGGTGGTCCCATACAATTTTGAGCAATCAGTGTCCTTCATGATGATCATACCCACAAGTTCATTTCAACCTTTACCTGAAAACAAGCAATCAGATGACGATACGACGATCACTCTACCTATCTGTCTACTCACATCAGCTAACCTCAAGGAGATTTGTAAGAGATTAAGATTAGATCAAACTGGTTCAAGGGTAGCTTGTCTCGATCGAATCAAAACCAAGTTGAGCGAATCAAATGCGATTGGTGAATGTCTTTCTGCTTATCGTAAGATGTGGGGATCTCAATATTCATCTGAGTTGAGATCTCCTTCATATCCTAGATAGTGAAACTTACTTCAATTCTTGACCAATTTGATTTCTATCTCGATCACACAGGTTCAGATACTAGCGTGATACGTACGGATAACAGGAAGCATGAAGTTGTTAAGACTCCACGAGTCGTACCATCAGACAAAAACTCCCGAGTTCCGCCCAAAAAACGCCCGCGTCAGTCTACCGGCACAAATATCACATACGAAATACATCCTGTGATCAAACCACTTCCTTCCACCCGTCAATTCGTGATCACTTGCGAAGACTTAGACAAACTCGTTGGGTACACACCTGATAAAGACTCAAATCTGATCACAGTCTTTGACCTGCATCAAATCCGCGAAGCTTTTTCTATCAGACCATCATTCAATGATCATACACAGTTAGGAACTCCAGTAAAACTTCCAGGTTCTAATCAACTAGAATATCAAAACCATTTAAAACAAGTAGATATTAGAAGTGTGCAAGTTTGTGATCCTCAATCTTTACTCAAAACCCGATCAGGCCCCTACAAATTTCGATCTCATGCAATCCGTTTACGATCAGCTTCTCATCGTCATCGTCGAATGAAATCTTTACCAGCCAGAATCGAAGAAAACGAGATACTATCAACGGCTTGGTGGTACATATTATCAGCTTCAGAAAGTTTAAGTAAAGATAAATTAGAATTCCTTCAAGTTTTAACAATATCTATTGATTTGAATGGTGAACCTAGGAATGAAAATCCAATCTCTTATTTTCTCTGTGATCCTGCTCAAATCAATGATCAAGAAACTATTGAAATGTTAGATACAGTAATGAGTGATTTGTTTTAGTTTTTTTCTTCGGTAGTCTCTTTTCTTAATCCTTCTATGGTTTTCATTCATTTTTTCAAGTTTGAGTGTGTGATTTTCGATTTTCGAGTTTTGTGTTATTATCTCTGAACTTATCTTTTCAAACCAGACTTTGGAGAATTGTCAAATTACTCCGTTTGGGTCATTTTAATCTAATAGTAGGGTTCCATTCCTTTGCTTTAATCTATGGCTCACATAATAGCGGTTGAGAGTTCAAGCGCTACCTTGCTCACTATCAGAATTAGGAAGCTATGTTTGGTTTTGACTTTTAATGTTGGTTTCTTTGAATGCCAAGCTTTGTCTTATCATATCCTGACTAATATCAAACCTGCCTTTTCTCCACTTTTACTCGGCCAAGACCCCATATAAATGGTCTCTAAGTTGAACAAGGCTGTCTTGACCCAACTTCACAGTTCAAGTATTATGTTCACATAAACTGCTTCAATTGATGTTCAATGGGGTCTTCAACATCATTACACACGTCATCATCTTCTGATTTCTGTGGTACAACTATAACTCTCTCCTTAATCTTTGGTTTGCAAACTTGTGAGTCGATGTGCTGGGATCCTGGTGAATTCTTCCTGAACAATATCAGATTAAGAGGCCTTGTGTGTGATGAAAAATTTGGGTATTCCATGTGTTCAAACTAACCCATCAAGGCATTGTACAAATCACAGTGAAAGCTAGCTTTGATGGATGATATATGGGTTTGACAGGGAAATATCAATATGATTGTGTTTTATGTCTCAATCATGATTTTCTTTTCAAAAGCAAAGAATTGCTTGTTTGCATATTGCACTATCCAAACAAGTCATGTGTAGGAGACTGGTATACAAGCTTAGCACAGTTATCTAGTCAGTTCTCAGAGTCAGAGAGCCCTTTTGATTGTTACACAATAGATAGCCATGCACTTTTTGGTATTACTACCTTTTTGTGATTTTGGTTCAAAAGGGTAACAGTGACAATAGTGGGGTTCAAGTTGGAAAAATGCCTAAAATACAACTGTCCCTGTATCAAAATTCTACTTGAATTTTTGAGATTTTGAAAACACTATCAGAAATCTCCACCTGAGAAGCACAATACTAGCATTTTATTTTTCAAAAAAATGTATTTTGTAGGGCTGGGAGGGCAAAATGCATAAAATTTTAGACACTTTTTTGGCCAACTTGGCTGACAATATAGTTTGCTTACACATTCCAAATCTAAGGTGGAAGGAAAGGGCCTTAGGAATTGTATGTTCTGTCAGGGTGTTTACTATTTGCAACTCATCTCTTATTGAGTACCTACAAATGCAGGGAATTGAGCAACAGTGACAGTTCAGTTCCACATACTCATCCTCAATCTAAGGTGGAAGGTAGGGAAAAATGGTCTCTGTGAGCAGTAAATAGACCCCTGGATGGGAACATGAGTCTTAGGGATCAAGATGTTGGTGCAGGGTTTTGCACTGATGGTGTGCTGGCTTCCCACAAATGAAGCCCTCCAGAATCTGTGCCATGGCTGGTGGTGTACCAGTGCACTGATACTTACAAAAAAGGCACTTTTTTCCTTCAAGACTTACAAGGATGAATGGAGGCTGTTTGTTCTTTGATTGTAATCAAAAGAAGAGGTATGTATCAAGATGAATCTAGAAGTCATGGTTCATTCAGCATCTACATCCTCAATTACAAGAGCTTTGAAACCAAGACTGTTGAGATCAACAACATCACCTGCCTTGAATTGGTTCAAATCAAACATCTTGTCAATCAACCCATCAAAACTTTCATCAATGAGGACATTGATGTCAGTTATTTCTGCAGAGTAAGCCCCTGCTTCAAAGATCCACCATGGGGTACCATTGCTATTTGTCTTTTTGAGCAACTTTTGATTGTTGGACATGATATAGTGATTGAAGCTGATGATGTTCCTGGATCCAGAGTTGATGAATGAGCCAAAAATCATTTGTTGTAAGTTTTTGGTAGCTAGCTTCCACCAAGATCTAACCTGGGCCTACAGCCCTTTTTGGAAATCCTGCTGGTGTGCCATTGCACCAGCAGGCCTTATGCCAACACCTTAACCCAGGGACCAGATTCCCCTCTGCTACTGTTAAACAGCGCCATGAATATTTCTTTAGTAGCCGTTGTGATATATGTAGTCAATTTTTAGGAATATGTGTCTCAATCTGAACAAAGTTACAGAATGTATTACATGTGATTTGCATATCTAGATGAGCAGATAACTGAGCTGAGCTATATGTACCTGATAGCTAAGAATTTGCTCAGATGTTTGCACATATGTAGCATATGCTTTCTGGCTCAGATGTGCAGTGCAAGAATCATGTTCCCAGCCTAGGTCATGCAATGCTGGTGGTGTGTGTTATGACCTGTCACGCATGTTACATATAGGTCTTTGCATACTTGTCTCGTGTCCCACATATTGCCTCTCCTCACTTAGCAATCTATTACATTCACAAGACCACCCTTGCTGTTCTCCTTGCATCTCTCTCAAAGCTACAACATATTGCTAAGTCTACTTATTGAGATCCAAGAGAAGAACAACCAAAGAAAGAAGAAATCAAAAAAGAAATTAAAACAAAACATTCAGAAAGAAGTTAAAGGAAGTGAATCAAAAATTTTCAAAGTTCATAAAGTCAAGATTAAAGTTGAAACTATCTGCACTCTGCAATCAAAGTTGAAAGAAGTTAGATCTGATATACATCAAAATTAAATTAATATCCTCCGCGGAACCCGCATAATCTGTATCACCACCTTGTTCTTCCAAAACGCCCAACTTTAAACTTCCTTCTCAATCAACGGACTCCAAGTCTTCCGAAAAGGAGTACTACGAAACGGAGGAAGCTGCGATGAATCCCGAAGTTGCTGAACCCTCGATGGCTGAAGTACTGAGGCAAATGCAGGAGCTCAACTCGCAAAGCCTAGAGGTCAAAGCAAACCTAGCCAAAGAATCTCAGAAACGTATAGAAGCTGAGAGAAGAGGAATGGAGGCGGAACAGCGCTTACGTCAATTTGAAACGGTTCACAATAACCCCGCTCAAACACACCAAAACCCCACTCCATTGCCTCAACCACCAACCCAGCATGTGATTAGTCAAATTAAACCTCCTAAGATTGCTACTCCCAACAAGTTCGATGGCGCTAAGGGACAAAAGGCTGAGGTTTTTGTCAACCAGGTGTCCTTGTATATGCAGATGAATGCTGCAGCGTTTATCAATGAGCAGGCACAGGTTACTTTTGCGTTGTCATACCTTGATGGAAAAGCTGGTTTATGGAGTCAGTTGATCACTGACGGATCAGTTATTAGATCAGGAGAAAATGAAATTGGTTACCTGGAAAAAGTTTATCAAATCTTTTAAAGCAACATTCTTTGATACGGAGCAAGTGACAAAGGCCGAGAAAGAGATACGAGAACTACGTCAAAACCAATCAGTTGTAGACTATTGGATTACACTGTGAAAATAATGTGTTTCTCCCTAGCGAAAAATGATTGCATTTTTGGAAAAATGATTGACAAAAAATTGTACCTGGAATTGTGGGCCCAGTTGTGGCCCAAAACGCTTGGAAAAAGATCTGGAGAGAGATACAACACTCTTTGTCCTGCAATGTTTTTTCGGGGTTGCTTAAAGCCTCATACTCAGCATGAACCCAGCAAGCAATTTTTAATGTTTTTACCAGCTTTTTCCCTCTCAAAGAAGTCCAAAAAATCCGGAAAAATCAGGAGAGATCATAAATCCCCTTTGTGATGTGTGGTGTTTTTTTTCGGATTTTTTGATGCCTTTGTCTTGGATACATGCAGGTTAGAACATTAAAAGTCTGCCAAATAAAGTTCCAATGCATTTTGGTTCACAGGGGCATCAAAATTCCACACACTGTCTTCAAACCATGTACAGATGATCTTGCATCCTTTGTTGTGCTGCAAAATTTTTTTTGGGTGGTTTTGGAGCCTTGTACATATGGCAGTAGCGTTTAAGTACCTAAAATTACACACATGTGATGACTTGCATACTGAGCCAGAAAAATTCTGAAAAAAACGTTCAACAAAGGGGATATTGTCCTCCACTTGTAATTTTTTTTTCAGATTTTTCTTGTCACTATTGAAGGGTGAATTTAGTGCTTCAGTGCTGCATATTTATGTGTTGATCCACAAAAATTTTGAACATCACCAAACTGAGTGCTAGAATTTTTTTACAATGACCAAAATCTCCCAACTGGAAGAAAATAGCACATTTTGCCTTACCAGATTTTTTCAGATTTTTTGGGCCAATATCAAGCAAGGCATTTTGAATGCTATAATCAATCATTTTTTGCCATGGAAAAACACATTATTTTTGCAGTGTTAGATTTTCAGAATTGGTGTTAGTGGTTAAGTGGCCTGAGAATGTATTGATATCACAATTCAAGTCAGGCCTGAAAGGAGAGATCACAGTTCACATGGTTAGAGACCAATTTCAAGAAGTTGAAGAAATGGCAAAGCTGGCTGTAAAAATTGACAATGAGGTTAACAAACATACAAATGATTCTCACACTACAGTAGTTCACACCGCCACCCCACCAGCACAAAGTACAACTATTGACCCGGACGCCATGGATTGTTCAGCTTATCGACTGGACATATCAAATGAGGAGTATAAGAGAAGAGGAAACTTAGGAGTGTGTTATAGTTGTGGAAAAGACGATCATTATATCAGAGACTGTCCAATCAAAAAGAGGCAAGGAGGAAGAGGAGGATGGAGAGGTAGAGGTGGATATGGAAATGGAAGATTCAGACCAAGAGTTGCGGAAGTGGATGGAGTAGGAGATGAAGAGAAAGGAGAAGGACGAGCAGAGGCCTCAAAAAATGGAGGCGCTTGAGAGTGCTAGTGGTGCCTCCCTCGAGCGGTATTAACTTAACAGAAGAATGTAGTGACATAAATTTGCTTGAAATGAAAGATACCCAAATTATCAATCTTGTTACTATTTTTGATGTTAAGAGTGCCACACCCTTTGCTG